GAAAAACTAGTTGGATTGGAGAAAACTTACCAGAGTGATGATGAAAACCCTAATTTCGAACTGAAATGGCTTGAGATGAAGATGCAATGAGATGAAGATGAACTGAGATGACGATGAACAATGAAAACGGGTCAGAGAAATTTGTGAGGAACGAATTGAAAAGAGTTTGGCAGAAGATAATGAAACCGTAATGGCGACAGTGAAGATGATAGTGAAACCCTAATTCTCATGTTCTCTTACTCATGAAAATGGTTGGATGTTTGGAATGAATTGAGTCGTCGGAATGCAATCGAGTTGAGCATTCTATGTTGATCTGTGAAGGGTATTTTGATCCAAAAAAAAATTAAAAACGCGCCTGTCGTTAGTGAGGGACCTGAGACATCATTCCTATTTTTGGTGTCCTTTATGCTGTAAATTACTCTTATTAGGGACCTTAAAAAAAATTCCCCTTGTTTCTATGCCATAATTATACTAATATTTTCATAAATAAAATAAAATAAAATTGGCACGTTTTTAGAATATTCCCATCCGAATTGTCAATTGATACGTTTGACAATAAATTTGGCATCAAATTGTGCTTCATCCAAATCTACAAAAGTGAGTAGTCAATTTGACATATCTTAGCAAGAAAAATGATTGAGAGTTCTAATAGAGAAACTCTAATGAGCTCTAATTATAGTGAATTCTACTGTGATGTGATGTGATGTTTTAATTTTAATTTTAATTTTATTTTATTCCTTGTCATATCATTAGAGTTCAATTAGAATTTCAAAATTAGAGATATATATAATTGTTGATCTTAGCAATGCCAAATTTGGCATATTAGAGCAACTCTTAATATAAATTGGTAAAAAACATAGTTAAAACTATAATGTAACAATAATCAGTGCAAAAAAAATTATAGAATAGCAATGCTAGTCCAACAGTGAAATTGCTATTTTTTAATTTAACCGGATGACTAGACCGACAATCGATCGAAAGATTGGCGGAATTCAAAATTCTACAATTAAGCACTTCTGCAACTTCTACCAAGTGGCGACCACCCGATTATCCACTTGGTCAACCATTGGCCTCTCAAAATTGTTATGCTGGCAGTTTTAACTATAGAAAAAATTAATGTCAAATTTGACAAAAAACATAATAAAAATATAATTTAACAGCTCTATTAGCACACAATTAAAAATGAAAAAAAAAAAGTAAATTCTATACTATTTTAAAGTAGTAGCAGCTCCAATGTCATTGGAGCTGCTTTTAGAAAGATAATGTCAAATGTTTTTATTTTTATTATTTTAATGGTGAGGATTTATAAAAAAAATTCAAAAAAATATTAAAGTAAAAACGATTAAAGCGAAATAATAAAATCACAAATTTAATATATTGGGTTGAGTGCTTTTTATTTTTAGATGTATTATATATATATATATATATCGTAAAGGGATAATTTTATAGTTTATAAATCATAATTAGAAATAAAAAAATCATAACTAAATAGTGTGAAACATAATCAAAGATCTCATCAACCATAATTAAAATATTATCATAATTAAAAAATAAATTAATCATAATTAAAAAAAAAGATTTGGTCAAAATCTCCTTATAATAAAATTTTAATGTATTAAAAATAAGTATAAAAAAATTTCTTAAAAGTCCACATACTACTATTATCAAAATATTAAACTTTAAAATACTATAACTTTTGATATAGATATCGATTTTTAATAAAATTAGTATTTTTAGAATAATTTCATTAAGATCTATCAAAGATCTATATTGAATATGAAATTCTTATAAAAAAATAAAAAAAATTATTACTGTCAAAATTGACATAAACAGTAATATATTACTCTATCTCAGAGTAACGTGTTACTTGGTTCACAATAACATGTTACTCTGGTAATGTTGTCTAACAAAAAAAAGAATATATTTTACTTTATTTTTGCTCAATTATGCACATCATCCTTAGGGGGTTTATGAAGCAAAATAAATTGGGTTGTCCTTTTCACCAAATAAGGATTCAATGGAAGGATTTTGGCTAAATTTTTTAATTTTATTAGGATTTAACAATGATAGCATGTTTCCAACAGGATAAGTTTCTTTCTATACCTCATATCTCCATGCATTTTCATATTCTTCTTACATGTTTTAATCTGAGCCCATATTGATTATCTAAACCGTCTATCTTGTAAACTCCACAATAAAGTTCATTTATGCAAAAAATTAGCTTCATCAAACAACTATAAATATGGAAATAAATCGCATTTTGTTTTATAAAATGAATAGTTTAAGTTTAATTATATTTATCATTCATTTTATAAAACAAAATGTGATTTATTCTTCTATTTATAATTATTTGATGAAATTAATTTTTTATATGGATATTATGAAATTTACAAGATAAACGGTTCAGATTATCAATACGAGTCCAGATTGAAACTTTCAAAAAAAAGTATAAAAAAATATGGAGAGATAAGAAATGGAACTTATCCTGCTTCCAACAACATTCTTTCCAATCAAATGATTACACAATAGTAAGAAATTATCTAGGTGGAGCACGATACAAGGAAAATTACATTGGCATCCCTTGAGGTTTCTGTTTAATACAGATCCCTCCTCACATTTGAAAAATTACATTCCCCTTCATGAGATTTGTAATCTCATTACAGATTATCTCTGGATTACTGATATCATACCCTAAAATTTTCTATATGATCATTTTACCTTTTTCTTATTATTTCTTCTTTTTATCATCATGACTACATTCTACAACTTTCTATCATTAAATTATACCTGAATATATTTTTATTGAATGATGATATACAAATATAAATTTTATATAAAATTTTTAAATACAATGATATAGCTTATCACCTTTCACTTTAAAATAAAGTACTCATAAACATGATTTATATTTATAACAATATCACTATCACAACATTTTTATAATATTTTTTGTATACAATTTTATATATGAATATAATTTTTTAGTTTTATTTCCACTATTATATTTTGATTAGATCAATTTAATCTAAATATATTTAAAAAGTATAAAATTTGTACAAAAAAACTTTTAAAAAATCCATTGAATATAACAAAATAAGATAATGTATTGAATTTTTATATTTTTTGTATTTGGTGACTTTAAAAAAAAAATTATTATACTTCTTAAGTATATCTAGATTAGGTGTATCTAAAAAAATAAAAAATAAAAAATGCTTAGAATATTAAAAAAATCAGTAAAAATAATAAAAGATGAAAAATAAAAAATAAAAAACTTAATTTTTTGTGTGAGTTAAACCAAAGAAAATGATTGTTATTTCCCTTGAAATATAATACAAACAAAATATCTGTATTATTTTATTATTTTATAAGGGACAAGTATTTCATTTTAATCTGACAGAGAAATAAGTGTAATTTTTTAAATATAAAAAAACAATCTGTATTGAACAGAAATTTTAGAAGTGCCGGTGTAAATATGAGTCCAGATCATCTGTCATACTTTCCTGCAGTGGTTCCTGCGGTGGTCTACAAAACGACGTCGTTTTGTGTAAAACGGCGTTGTTGGTGTCGTTTGGGAAGAGCTCATTTGGGCTCTTTTGGCTCTTTGAGCCACAAAAGACAGAATAGGCTATTTGAGCCATAACAGACAAAACATCACATCCAACCCATAATCATTACACTCTTCTCTCACAAAAAAAGTCAAAAAAGTCAAAAAGCCAAAAAGCCCTTCCCAAACCAAGCTTTTGAGCCCAGGCTTAAATAGCCAAAAAAGTCAAAAACCCCAAAAGCCAACCCACTTCCCAAACGGAGGCCAAAAAGCCAAAAAGCCAACCCATTAGTGTTTTTTTTTAAAATTTTTAATTCAAAATTTTTATTTCCCTTGTTTCCCCCATTTTCTCTTCTCTGTATCGTCTTCTTTGCCTTTGCACCATCGATCTGAGTGAGTGAACCTTAGTAGAGAGAGAGAGCCATCGTGAGAGGCGACTGAAAGTCGGAGTGAGGAACTGAAAGAGAACGAACGCGAACTGAGAGAGGAACTGAGAGACGAAAGAGATGGCGGACATAGAGGAGTAGCGCGATGGCGAGCAAAGGATCATGGGCGACGGTGAGTCCGGCGGCGATGTGATGGCGGGAATGCGACATTGCGGCGACGGCGAGGTCTATTTCATTATCTTGCTGTTACATATATATATATATATATACGTATGTATATATGGTTCAGTCACTTAATCTGTTCGGAATTCATAGATGGGTTGTTATTGATTCATAGATGGTTTATTTAACCCATTTCAGATTTTAATCTGTTGGCGAGGTTTATTTAACCCATTTCAGTCAATTAATTCAGATTGTAATATATTTGATTCAGATTTTAACCCATCAATTAATCTGTTATTGATTCATAGATGGTTTGGTTCAGTCACTTAACCCATATATGTTGATTTATGTAACCCATTTCATTTAATCTATATGAAATCAATTAATTCAGATTTTAATCTATTTGATTCAGATTTTAATCTATTTGATTCAGATTTTAACCCATGATTCATATTTTTTTGAAATCAATTAATTCAGATTTTTTCATATGAAATGGGTTCACTCACTGAAGTAGGTAAATTTTATGTTCTATATATATAAGTCAGATTTTTCATATGAAATTTTATGTTCTATATATATAAGTCAGATTTTTCATATGAAATTTTATGTTCTATATATGTATATATATACATAGTTAATCACATTGATCTATTCTAGTGAATTCAGATTTGTTGTTAGATAGTTAATCACATTTACTTGTAAATATTATTTTCTAATTCATACATTTATTTGTGGATTGATATAATTTGCTTCAATTATATGGTTTATATATATGAATTGTAGGTAAATGTGGTTTATATATGTGAATGTGGTTTATAAATATGAACCTGCAATTAAGTATAAATGTGGTTGACTCCCAGAACCTGCAATTAAGTATAAATGTGGTTTATATATATGAATCGTAGGTAATGGAAGAAAATAATATTGTTGATGATTGTGGTTGGAAGCCGAAAGTGGGAATGCCATTTGACTTTGAACAAGCTGCATATGACTTCTACAATACGTATGGGGGAAATGTGGGCTTTAGTAGTAGGAAGGCCTATGCAAACAGGAACAAACATACGAAGGAGATAACATCACGGACGTTTGTATGTTACAAAGAGAGAAGTCGGGGTATTGACAAACGAGATCCACTTGTCAAAAACCCGAGACAAGAGGTAAGATGTGGTTGTGGTGCCCGATTTAGTATCAAGTTAGATAGAATTTCAAGAAAATATATTGCTTGTGATTTTGTTGAACATCATAATCATGATCTTGTGCCTCAAGATTGCATTCATATGTTGCCATCCCAAAGAAAAATATCTATCACCCAAACAATTGAAGTAGAATTAGCTTCAAAATCTGGAATTCCTTTTAGGTCTGCTTAAGAACTGTTTGGTAAGGAATCTGGTGGAAGAGCATCATTTGGTAGGGAATCTGGTGGAAGAGCATCACTTGGTTTCACCAAATTGGACCAAAAAAATTACCTAAGATCGAAGAGACAAAAAGATTTGGAATATGGGGAAGCTGGTAGTGTGTTGCATTACTTTCGTAAGAAAACTGTGGAAAATTCATCTTTTTTTTTTATACAGTCCAATTAGATTGTGAAGAGCAGATAAGTAACATATTTTGGGCCGATGCTCAAATGGTCATGGACTATGCTCAGTTTGGTGATGTAGTGACATTTGACATTACTTACAAACTAAATAACGAGCATAGACCTTTTGGATCATTTGTTGGATTTAATCATCATCGAGAAACAGTTATATTCGGTGCAAATGTATGATGAGACTGCTGAATCTTTTACATAGTTGTTTCAAATTTTTCTAGAGGCAATGTGGGTGTTTATTTCAGCTTTTCAGAGCCAACTTATGGCTTTTAGCTTTGAAAAAGTTATTTTAAACTGTTTGGTTAAACTTATTTCAAGCAGCTTCTGATTCTAACAACTTATTTTAACTCAAAAAAGTTGATTCTGAGAAGCTGCTCACCCCTTGCTTCTGATTATCAACTTCTGCTATGGACATGTTAGTTTATGGTTATACTCTTAAATTTTTTTTTTTATTTTTTTAAAAAAAGACTCAAATGGACTATAGATTATTATTATTATTTTTTATGAGAAATGTAGACAAACAAAAAATAAAAATTAATTGAAAAAGCTATTTCACAACTTATTTAACAAACACTACTCAGCAACTTAAATCTATAATCCAACAGTTATACCAAACAGATTAACAACTTCTGATTGAAGTCATAATCTATAATCTGTTAAGCTATAATCTATAAGCTGTTTTAATAGCTACACCAAACGGGGCCAATGTCAAACAAAGCTCCGAAAACTATTTTCACAGATCAACATGCTGCGATGGCTAATACAAACCATCGTCTTTGTACGTGGCATTTGATGCAAAATGCTGTCAAGCATGTAAGTTCTGTTTTCAATGATGTAGGGGTCAAGGCCGTGTTTTCAAAATTTATGCATGACATTGATGATGAAGAAGAATTCCGAATGCAGTGGAACCAAATGCTTGATAAGTATGATGCATTCGACAATCATTGCTTGGAGTAGACTTTTCGCGTGAAGGATAAATGGGGATGGCCATATATTATGAATTCTTGGGCAACTAGAATGAGTACTACTCAACTTAGTGAATCCTTTAATGCATTCCTGAAGGATTATCTGAATTGTGACCATAACTTGATGGAGTTCTTCATGCATTTTGAGATGGTGCTTTATGAGAAGAGGTATAAAGAATTGGAAGCCGAGTATAATTTGTCCCAAAAATGCCGAGGGTTTCAATTCCAACTTTGATGTTAAAGCAAGTGGCAGAGATTTACATGAAAACAATTTTTGAGGAATTCCAAAATGAGTACGTCCAGTCCATTGAAGCATCCATTATAGGCACTATTAATGATGGTAAGAGTACCATATTCACAATAAGAACAGTGGTAGATGGAAAAAAAGATAAGATTGTGACAATGGATAGAGGGGGTTCTTTAAGTTGTAGTTGTAAGAAATTTGAAGTGAAGGGCATACTATGTCGACATTGTGTGAAGGTGCTTAGAGATATATTCAATGCAAAGGAACTTCCTCCACAATATATACTCAAACGATGGACTAAAAAAGCAAGGGCGGAATGTGTGACAAATAGACGTGGGTATGAAGTGAAGGCTGATGTGAAACTACATCAAAGTGACCGATATCGGTCATTAATGACCATGTTTAGAGCAATAGCGAGTAGAGCTGCTAAAAGTGAAGAAACTTATCAGTTGTTAGTTTCAAAAGGTGTAGAATTGAGTGTAATGGTTGAAGACAAATTAAGTCTCCACATTTGTGGTCAAGTTGAGGTAACTGATTTGAGAAATTCGTCAAGTAACGCATGCCCACAAAGTGATGAAGTAGATTGTCCAATCCAAGCTAAGGGACTGAAGAAAAGAGAATCAACTAGTAAGGGAAGAAGGAGGATCAAAGGCGAGATGGAAAAATCTATTGCAAAGAAGAAAAGGATGCAATCTATTCAGGTTTGGACCTGACAAATTGCATATTATTAAAATACAATAGATTAATAAACTAATACATTGATTTTTTTTTTATTAATGACCCACTTTCATTAAGGTTTTTCGTTATATGTAGGGTGCCGCTGATTATACTCCCCAATGTGAATCTTAGCCTCATTTCAGCATGGGTAATAATTCTATTCAGGTAATATTTAATAGTAATGTGGTCAGTATATAGTTAGTTTTATGAATTCATTTCATTAAGTTCATTCACTATTATCAAATAATGAACTATCCATATGGCATTTAATTTTTTTTTATTTTTAATTGGTTTGGTTGGCAATGTAGTCAGGTGCTACTGTTTATATTTCCCAAGGTGAATCACAACCTCGTTTCATCATGGGTAGTAATTCTGTTCAGGTAATATGTAATAGTAATGTGGTCTTTATATGATTAGTTTTATGAATTCCTTTCATTCAGTCCGTTCATTATATGGTTAATTTTTGTTATCTTTAATTGGTTTGCTTGGCAATGTAGTCGGGTGCTACTGTTTATACTTCCCAAGGTGAATCATAACCTCATTTCGTCATAGGTGGTAATTCTATTCAGGTAACATGTAATACTTTATATCCTTTCATTGGTTTGCCTGACATTTAATTTTGTTATCTTTAATTGGTTTGCCTGACAATGCAGTCGGGTGCTGCTATTTATACTTGCTAAGGTCAATCACAATCTCGTTTCATCATGGGTCGTAATTCTAATAAGGTAATATTTTAAGAAAATGTTAACTATTATTTCTTTTTTTATTCAAATTTTTTGTTTACATACTTTATATTGGTTGTATTTAGGATCATGGTGTTGGTGTCAATATTTCTCAATCACAACCTCGTTTCGTCATGGGTAGTAATTATAATAAAGTAATATTAATGTTCAATAATGTTTCTTTTGTTTTTCAAATTTTTTGGTTACATAGTTTATATTGGCTGTATTTAGGATCATCGTCATGATATCTACATTTCTCCATCTCAACCTCGACCTTAAGTTCTCATGGGTGGTACAAGTGGTCCTCATCTTACTTATGGTACATATGATGTGAGTTATCATTGGTTACATAGTTTACATTAAAAATGTAGTATACATTGTAATCAAAGTTTAATAGATGGTTTGGTCTATTGCAAGGAAATAACACGCCTCAGTCAATGCCTTCTATGTATTCCACTCACAAATCTTTTCAGGAGTTGCTTCGAGGTACAAGTGTTCAACACTTTGTAGTCCAAGTCTCGCAAGCATCACATAGTCTTGCTGACAGTCATATAGCTGGACATCCCTGAGAAGTTTATTTTATCTTCATTTGTTTTGGACAGATGTATTTTGTGTTGGACAATTTTCATTTGTTTTGGACAGATTTGGTCTCACGTATTTTGTGTTGCACAGGTTTATTATGTTGTGGACAGATTTGGAATGATCTAGATAGATTTCATTTGTTTTGGACAGATTTGGTCTCATGTACTTTGTTTTGGACAGATTTGGTTTGTGTTATTTTGTGTGGCACAGGTTTATTATGTTGTGGACAGATTTGGAATGATCTGGACAGATTTGTGTTATTTTATGTTGCACACGTTTATTATGATCTGGACAGATTTCATTTGATTTGGAATGATCTGGACAAACTTGGTTTGATGTATTTCATTTGTTTTGGTTTATTATGATCTGGACAGGTTTATTATTTTGTGTTGTTTTGGTTTATTTTGATTTCAATGTTGCACAGGTTTGATTTGGTTTATTATGTTCTAGACAGTATTATAAAATAATGAATAGAAACTCATAGGTAATTTCATTCGTCAAGCATAGGTAATTTCAGGTAATTTCATTGACAAAAACAAAAAAAAATCGCATCACATTCGTCAAGCATAGGTAATTTCATTAAGCTTTACATATCAAAACTCATAGTTTAAGGTTTACTACATTCAAAACCCAAATACAACCACCAAAAAAAAAACAAAAAACAAAAAACAAAAAAATAACTAAAAGGTTACATTTACTTCAGCAGTGCTATTAGCATGGTAAAACCAACCAACACTATGGTTGTGAACATAATCAGTTTCATAGCTTCTTAGTTTGCCTAAACTCGTTCCAATCTATTTATAATTTCATTGAGTTTGTCAAAATCATAATCATAGCCTCTCTCATCTTCATTCTTCATATGACTAGCTTTACTTATTCTTTGAATATTTGATGCATTCCCAGTCGGAGTCGCTCCCCACCCAAAGCACTTGCACATCCTATCTGCACACTTGAAATACAGCCTCCCTGGATTTTTCTCTGATTCTGATATGAACACTGCAGCTTTTTTTCCATAATTTCATATTCTATTTTGCAAATATCTAGCATCAATGTTTGAACCCATTGACATGATCCTAGTAAGAGCATTTTATGACACAATCAGTCCATTACAACTTAAGACAACATTCAAACAAAAGATGTAAAATAGAACAATAATCAATGATATAATAATCATTTGTCTAATAACCATTGTCATTTTCATGTTCATGTTCATGTTCATTCTTAATGTCATTTTCATGTTCATTCCTAGTCATATACGGTTTTGGGGAATTGATTTAGGAAAACCTTGATGCTAGTTCATATACATAGTTCATGTTCATTCCTAGTTCATGTTCATGTTCATTTAACATATGCCTCATCAATTGTTCATGTTCATTCCTAGTTCATGATTCAGGTAATTGATTCATGTTGATTCATGTTCATCTTCATTCCTAGTTCATGATTCAAGGAATTGATTCATGTTCATTCCTAGTTCATGTTCATGTTCATTTAACATATGCCTCATCAATTATAATAAAAAGTTTCTTCTGTAATCTAATAAAAACCTTGATGCTAATGGGCCTTGTGAACTAAATTGTGTTTCAAAACACATTGTTAGCTATATATACTAAGAGGTCAAGTGGTCAGTCAGCTTATATACATATATATATATATATGATATAAAAAAAATATTTAAAAAGAAAAAATTGTCAAACAAAACATCTACTGATCTTTCTCTCATAGAATTTGAAAGGTTTCCAAATATTATATCTTTACTGCTATATTTAAACAAAGATTACAAAAGAAAGAAAGAAAACGAAATTATTTATACATGTTCATAGTTATGAGTAATTAACCAAATAATGGGTTATTTTAACAATGATCTATTTTTATCTTTTCATTTTCAGAACTCAATCAAATAAAAGGAAAAAAAAAATTCATTTTTTTCACTAAGTTATATACATAATAATCAACAGAGTCCAACCGGCTCAAAATCATGCATTCTTTCACTAAGTTTATGCAACAACAATTTGCTTTGTTTTAGTATTACCCCATGTTCCTCCACTACAAAAAGAAAAATTGGAAAAATGTTTTCTCAACTTCAACATCAATGAAAATTGGAAAATGTCATTATTCCAATAAATTGGGAATAACACAAACATTGAACAGATTAACACAAATATTGGGAATAAATTGGGAATAACACCAAATCAACAAATTAACACAAACAAAAATTGGAAAAAAACTGAACAAATTAAACACAAATCTGTTTCTAGAACAAACCCTAAAATTATGGCAACAAATCAACAACAAATCCATCAAACTCAATAAATCAAAAGCATCTATTTTTTTGAACAACAAATCAAACTATGGCATCAAAATCATATATATATATATATATATATATAAGTGAAAAAACACGAAAGGAGGAAGGGAAAAAAATGAGAATGAAGACAAACGGATCTCATCGCCGCCGCCAATCCCTCTCTGTCCGTCTCCTGTCGCTTCTCCTCGCCTCACCGCTGCCTCTCCTTTCCTCGCTGTAGTCGCCTCTCTATTCTCTATTCGTCTCACTAGGGTTCAACACTAGACAACAAAAAGAGGCTGAAGCAAAATATAAGAAATAAGAGAAAAAAAAAAATGGTTCAAAACGACACCGCAAGGGCAACCGCAGGAAAGTATGGCAGAGGATCTGGACTTTATATATGAATATAATTTTTTAGTTTTATTTTATATACAAATATAAATTTTATATAAAATTTTTAAACACAATGATATAGCTTATGGTGACCTTTCACTTTAAAATAAAGTACTCATAAACATGATTTATATTTATAACAATATCACTATCACAACATTTTTATAATATTTTTTGTATAAAATTTCATATATGAATATAATTTTTTAGTTTTATTTCCACTATTATATTTAGATTAGATTAATTTAATCTAAATATATTTAAAAAGTATAAAATTTGTACAAAAAAACTTTTAAAAAATCTATTGAATATAACAAAATAAGATAATGTATTGAATTTTTATATTTTTTGTATTTGGTGAATTTAAAAAAAAAACAAATTATTATATTTCTTAAGTATATCTAGATTAAGTGTATCTAAAAAAATAAAAAATAAAAATTGCTTAGAATATTAAAAAAATCAGTAAAAATAATAAAAGATGAAAAATAAAAAATAAAAAACTTAATTTTTTGTGTGAGTTAAACCAAAGAAAATAATTGTTATTTCTCTTAAAATATAATACAAATAAAATATTTGTATTATTTTATTATTTTATAAGAGACAAATATTTCATTTTAATCTGACAAAAAAAATAAGTGTAATTTTTTAAATATAAAAAAACAACCTGTATTGAACAGAAATTTTAGAAGTGCCGGTGTTATATACCCAATTACAAAAAAGCACATTTTTTAAATTTGATTTGACAACTTTAGATTAGAAAATGACCTGGTTAAGAAAAATAAAAAAATAATAATAATAGGAAATTAGGCCTTGTTTGGTTTGATTTTGGCATGAATTTTTTGGAAATATACTCTACAAATACTTTTTTAAGGGTAATTAAACTAAACAGGTTTTCTGAAAAAAACTTTTAGAAATGTGTTTGGTTATCCAATTTCCAGAATTACTTTTTAAACATGTTTGTAAAAAAGGCAAACCAAATGAATTTTTGTACTTTTATCTCAAAAGTTACTCTACAAAAAGGCAAACCAAACAAGTTTTTGTACTTTTTTATCTGAAAACTACTCTACAAAAGAAACCAAAGTTATTTTAGAGAGAATATTTGAAAAAAGACAAACCAAACAAGTTTTTGTATTTTTTATCTCAAAAACTACTCTAAAAAAAAAAACAAAATTATTTTAGAGAGAATATTTAAAAAAAAAAGCAAACCAAACAAGTTTTTGTACCTTTTTATCTAAAAAATTATTCTACAAACACAAACCAGACACACCCGATTTTTAGTACCTTCATTTTAACAGATATTTGAAATAATCTGAATAAGTATATTTTTTAACTTTTTATAAAAAATTATACAAAAATAAAATAAAATAAAGGATTGATATAATCTAAATAAATACATTTATATAAATAAGTATACTTATGTAAATTACCAAACACCGCCTCAATCTCAAATATCAATTGACCAGGTCTTTTGGAAAATAAAATTCATTAAGTAGATCTGGTCGTTGAACTTGAGTCGTCGAACTTAAATCATGAATTAAAAACAAAAAAGAGTGAC